ATTTTTTAGCAACTAGATTTTTTTTTTTTTGAAAATAGTTTTTGCACCTGAAATTAAGTATTGCAGTGTTGCTTTTGTTTGTTTTATTCTGTAGGCTTATATTCTGTAGGCCCATGCCATCACTAGTCTAGGTATACTGTGTATTTTGTACAATTTTAGCGTAGTTTCACTGTCACTGAGTTTGCAATTTTCCATCATTCTCTATTGTGGTATTTGTAGCATAGTAGTTTTGCGCTCATACCATATATGTAATTTCAATTTATGCAAATTTCTTGTGTGATGTTGTATATCCACTGTGTGTAATTTCAGCATACTGGAAATTCTGCTTTCTAGTGTTTTCTTGCCTTGTTAATTTGCTGTCAGTATTTGCAGGACATTGCACTGTTTGTGGTTATATTGGAGATATTGCTGTTGTTAATATTGACACAATATTAATAACAGTTCTTCTTCTTTCTTCTCACTATAGGGTAGTTAGTGTAAAGTAAATTGGGTCTATTGTACAACTTATAAATCATGTACCACACGTGTAGAATAACAAAAGAAAGGTTGTCATCCAAATATTCATGTCATGGCATACCCATAAATTGGTGATGGTGACTGAAGTCATATTGGGAGATCTCCATACACGTATGCATGTGGAACACTAACCTTAACAACAACTGAAACTAAAATACCGCCTTCAGTGGGATTTCGCGTTTGCATATTATAACAATACTTTTCAAGGGTATACAAATATTAGTACGGACGTGATTGTTTAAAGTGTAGCATATTCTATTATACAAGTGGATAATATGGAGAGTTGTAATTTTAATGTGGTCACGTCAAACAAATAACACACGCAAAGCAAAGATTGATATTAACATTTAACCGTTCTATATAAATATTCCACTGTGATCGGTCATTCATTACATTGACACCAATTCTCAATCTACTTCATCTTGATAGTTGTAATTCACCTTGAACCTAGTACTTGAACATTCACAGTCTAGTAACTCACTACAGGGGCCAATTCCTCCTTACATTGCAAATCTTAGCATCTCAATAAATAATGCGCCAGAGATCACTTCTGAGGAACAGACCCGAAAACATCATTCAATATTTTATGGTGGATATCGAAATATAATTTTAAACTTTTTGAGTACTATACATACAAACCGACCAAATCAATGTCCATCTATTGACCGACGGTAATATCAATTGAACTTGATTTGACTTACTTTTATATCACTGTTCAAGTCTTTAAATATGAATGACAAAAGATTTTTATTGCCATTATTATCAGATTTGCGTTCACACAGAATGGTGGCGAGTAGATCTGGCCACCAAAATACTATTAGAGATCACTTCAAATGAAAAGGTCAAAAAGCGTAACTGAGCATTGTAGATTTGGGATACAGTAGCTACTTTTAAGACCAGTTTTGTAATCGCGCCAGTTTCAGTCAGACATTACGGCTTTTAATAAGATTTAAACTGTGTTACGCCGGCGCACCATGTTCACGTCGGGTATTCTCCCCCTAGTGTGGAAGGGACAAACGATGTTGAAATGCTTTTTATACGCGAACAAAGTTGAAGACCGTGATATCTCCGTTCAAAAGTAAACACACAAGCCAAATCTAGTGCCCATCAGTTGACCGACAACCAAATTACTTAAACTTGATTTGACATATGTTTAGCACTGTTTTATTACTAGTCTGTTTTACAATTATAATCACGTTCTAGTTAACATTCATTGCTGGCGGTGTATATCTTCTCAGACCAATGCACAGTCACTTTCTATAAGAAATGCATTTCGACGATATAGTTCATATTCTAGGGGAATTTGGTCGTTATCAAAAGTTCCAACTGTTTTTGATATGCTTGACATGCATATGTTCGACATACTTCCTTCAGGCCAACAGTTTCATGAGCGCGTCTTCCGATCATTACTGTAAATTATACGACAACCAGACATTCCATGACACATCTCCGTTGAAAAACTGTACGATTCCATACGATGCTGAGGACGAAGCGTGGGACTCGTGTAGTCGATATGATGTCAACGTTTCGATGGGTATATCACCTGAACTGTGTTCACAGGATTCTGGTACACAAGACTGTGACAATGGATGGGTGTATGATACGTCGGTATACGAAAGAACAGTGGTACATGAGGTATGTTGAGTATTGTCGGCAAACACAAACCTAATCAGCGTCTGATTAAATACCACTTCTACGCATGGATTATAGCTTATCTTCACGTATACACGATTGTGTTTATCTTTTCATATACAGCAGTAATCACTAATTAATACCTATCACGTGATCAATCCTTTGTTTCAAGTGTGAATATAATATTAAGAAAATCAACCAGTCAAACGTTAGAACTTAAACTGCTAAACGCGTGTCCTGTCATACATATTTTCTTTCCCACATTTACATCTTTACAATTTGTTGACTGGCATCACAATCTGACAGCCGCTGTGTTGTAGGCCTGAATTTATAGTTTGTTTATCAAAAAGATAAACTATGTTTTATTTTTATTATCAACTACCAAGGTGATTGTTTGTAGATTGTCTTACATCATTGCAAATTATTAGTCATGTCACATTACATCCTATGATTAGTCATTCGGTTCATTGTGTAAATAAGAGATTTCTAAATATTCTGAAAATATCACCCGATGTTATGTAAAATTTTGAAACATTTATTAAAACGTTTTAATTTGAAAGTGGTCTTTTAAAAATTACATAATTCAGACATACATCTAAACGTATTGTGAACTTTTTCATCAGTATGACCTGGTTTGTGAGAAAGATTGGATGAAGCAGTTGTCTAAATCGATCGTACCGTTAGGAAACTTGGTCGGAGGGATAATATTTGGACAACTTGCCGATATGTAAGTAAAGGATTTAATATCAAAACTATTTCATCGCTAGAGCGTTATTTATATAGTAAATTGTCGAATTCTTAAGATGTTGCGGTGATTCTTTATTGTGCTGCGGATATGTTGTTTGTTCCAGATTTGGTAGAAAACCTCTGTTTATCATCGCTATGATGTCATCCATCGTTGTTGGTATAGTAGCTGCTTTTTCACAAACGTATGCCTTCTTTATTGTGTGCCAGTTTTTGATTGGCATCTTCTCCATCTCAATGACCTTGATTGGCTACGTCATAGGTACTGTCTATTTCACTATTTATAATGTTTACGAATTCAACAAACCTCATGTTTTGTGACAATTGCTTACGGCTATTAAAGCTGTCCTTATTTATGTTTTTTTTTTATTTTTTTTTTTTTTGCTTTTATTTTAAATTATATAAGTACTATAATTCATACACATGAATACATTATCCGTTACCTGTAGTCATGGAATTGACTGGGACAGCCTACAGAGTCACATGTGCTGTCATGACTGGTTTATTTATATCCGTTGGTTTGCTTATACTTGCCATGGTCGCCCCACTTTCCAATGGAGACTGGAGAGTTATACAGCTTGTAGGCGGGTTGTTGTGTTTGATGTTCATTCCATATTACTGGTAAATGGATATTCTTTAATATTTATTGTTATTAATCAAGTTGTGATGAAATATTTCTTGTTGCAAAAATGCAATTATTCTCTGGTGGTTTGTGTACAACATACACTGGAGGAGTGAGCATGATTCGCCAAAAGTGACGGTTTTGTTCTCAATAACGTCATAATCAAACGGATAATATGACTATGTTTAACTGATTGATAATAATTCTGATGTAGGTTACTACCCGAGTCGGTTAGGTGGTTGATCCAAAAAGAAAAATACGACAAAGCCGAGAAGATTTTGCACAAAGCTGCTAAGATGAACAAAGTAATCCTTCCTAATGATTTGTTTCAAGAAGAACGAAAAATGGCCGGTGAGACAGAGAAACCGGTGAGATATGAATGTGTTCATTTCCTGACGATTTAATACACAGACTAAACGTATAATACATGTGTCGCATAACATAGTTACAATTTAAATTTATATTAAATTTCAGATGAATGAAAAACAAAATAATTTGGCTGATTTGTTCAAGACGCCTAATTTACGAAAGCGAACTATAAACCTATGTCTGATTTGGTATGTCGTTATCTTTTAATCTTTTAGCAATAGGTCGGAAAGAGTTCTTTTCCATGATGTCCGTGTATATGTTTAATAGTTAAAAACAGGCCAATCATATACGCCGACAAGCATTGGTGTTTTAAATTTCGCATAGAAACTGTATTGCGTATTGCGCATCAAGCCATATCCTCAGAACAATATGAACAATAGGAAATGATTGGCATTTCGATTTACCTTCCATAAATCGTAGAATGAAAAATTTCCATGCACAAATCGACATTCACACTTTACCCTTCTATTCTAGGTTTGCTATTAGTTTCGTCTATTACGGACTAGCATTGAATACCGATCAATTGGGAACCAGCCCATACGTCACATATTTTATCTCATGCCTAGTGGAAATCCCTGGAACGCTTTCATGTTGGGTTTTGCTTGACAAGGTTGGTCGTCGTTGGTTGATGTGTTCTTACATGGTGCTTGGTGGAATAGCATTAATCATCAGTGTTCCTCCAGGTGACACCAAACTTATCATTTACTGATTTTGTATCCCAATCAAGTGCAATGTCACTACATAATAATTCCTATGAAAAAAAATACTGGTATGCATTGCTATATGCACTTAACGAGTATATACATTTGGCGTCAGATTCTCAGTATATATATATATTTGTCCAATTTCCATCTCAAAGTCATGAATGAATTATGATTGACATATGATACGTTTCATATGTATGCTTTGCACGAGTATACACCATTAATTCAATCGGTACCTATACATATTTATTAATTTTCAGGATTATGATAACAAAAATGAACTAATAGTAGACCAAAAACAGTGTAGTATAAACTATAATTGTTTAACTATGTGTCTTTAATAAAATCAAAACGTAGTATTTTGATATCACTTTGGTTTCTAATCATTTAAAACAGGCGTATTAAGAATTTGCAATTTATGAAATTGCTATTATGATATATGAAAAATAACTCAACTATTGTGCGATTATTTCACATAATGCTCCTAACACCATCAAACTGTAATTTATGTTTCAACAGATAATATCAATGTGTCAGCTACATGTGCTATGATTGGAAAGTTTTTCATGTCCGGATCATGGACTATAATTTATATATTCTCTGCGGAAATCTACCCCACCACAGTCAGGTGAGACACGTCAGCAATTTGAAGGCAATTTAGAGTTTGTGAGAAACAATCAAAACAACACAGTGAAATAACACAGTAATAGGAGGTTTTGGCCTCGGAGGTCGATGCGACGGCGTACTGCCTGAGTGCATAATTTGAGGTATCCTCGTAATAACCTTATAATTATACATCTTTTCATCATGGGAATGCCGAAATCCAAAAAGTTTAGAACAGAATCAGCGAACTTCTTTGTATGGAGCCCGGCCAAAACCTGGTGGCAGCCATGTTTGTTTTTATTATTAAAGGAAGCTTACACGCGTAATCATTCCATATTTGGAATTCGCATTTCCTAATATAGTAGGATGAAAATACCCCATAAATACCCCGCACGCTGTAACGGTGGCGTTACGGTGACAGATGTATAATAATATGATATATTTAAGTCTCACATCATTATTGAAGCAATACTGAGATATTTGAATTATTTATGGGACGCTGTTGATGCACATACGGAAATATTATAAAATATTATTATTATTAAAATATTATACTATCTATTCGAGTATGTTATACTGAAAGATTTATTCTCGTATAGAAATGCTGGTATGGGTGTATCATCTACCTGGGCACGTGTCGGCAGTATTATTTCCCCGTACATAATGTTACTGAGCGATATATGGGACCCGATGCCTTATCTTATTATGGGAATAACGTCCATAATTGCCGGTTTGTTTGCCTTGCTGCTACCAGAAACAAGTCATAAAGACCTTCCAGAAACCCTGGCAGAAGGAGAGTTATTTGGAACGTAAGGATGGACAATGAAATAGACTTCATTGTGACATTTTAATTGTGTAAATTGCCCTCGATTTCAAGATATTCGTGGAAAAACTGATTTTTTAATATTGATAAACATATTCTTCCGATCATAGCAACTCTCTGATCCCAGATTTTGATTATTTATTACTATGATGTTTCAACCATATCAAACATCTGATCGATATTTTGAATATCGTTAATCGCATAATAATTTTTCAATTATTTTAAATATTGACATTCATATTTTTTCAATCATTACTACCCTTTGATCCCGGAATTGGAATATTGCTAACCATGCTGTTTCAACTGTTTCTCATATTTTAAATGTTGGCAATTCCACTTTTTCAAGCATTTCAAACATCTGATCCCATGTTCTGAATATCGACAATGATACTGTTTCAACCATTTCAAACTAGAGTCTTTGAATATTGATAATCATATTTTTTTACCAATTTCTTCTAATGCCACATACATTTTTAATGTTATTTTTTTATTATTTTAATTTGCAACCTCTGATCAAATATCTTTAATATTGACAATCATATTTCGTCAACAATTTCAACCTGTGATCTTATGTTTTTACAGGAAACACGCCAATGAAGAAGCAGATACTGAAATCGAAAAGACCACTGAAATGGAAATCCAGTGTGACATTGATATCACTGACCTTGACAAGAATATATTATTAAATAGTTTCATAAATGCGAATGAAAACGTTGGTGTCATTAACGACAATTTCGAAAATATATTCTAGGATACAAACAATGTATGTGAATATATGTATGAAATATTATTTATATTTCTCCGTTCGCATGATTTTGAATAGGTATCATTCATTTATAAAAAAACAGTAAAGTCCAATCAAAAACATAAATTCTATGCTATTATACATTACTTTACATTTTTTTGTAATATATATTGAATACATAGACTAAATAAATCATTGTTTTCATATAAAAAATATCATGACACTAACGGTTTTGTTTTGGTTGTGAATAGGGGTGGGGTAATGATACTACAGTAAAAAATATGTGTTTACACGTTACATTTAAAGCAAATTTCTAATTACATATTTGATAATTTGTGTTTAAGAATCAAAATTGGAAATTGCGTAAAGATTACGACATTTATTGCGGAAAATGCTTTATACGCTTACAAAAAATAAGATCTTTGTACAAATTACGGACGAATAAAATAGCTGATTACATTTTACACCTTGCCCATGTCTACGAATTTACGTTTTTTTTATTTATTTAAATTACATTATTACGAGAATAAAAACAATTGATTACAGCTTGTGAAAATATGCCTTGCCGACCCTCCATATACAAATCCCAGATACGCATAACCGCACGGAGTACATACTCATTTTGACGCTTTACTGATAGTTAAAGGACGCCAACGGGAACATGACGAAAACGTTTACTAGAACGAGACAGAATTTCCGTACTTCACCGATATAATACTGCAAATTTGGCGTGTGGTATTTTTGTCTGCAACCACGTCGCGGGTTTTGTGTTGCACAGTGTGCGTATGTTACGTAACTTATTTTGTATAGCAGGTCAATGGGCCAATACTCCGTAGAAATCGCATCTGATTCGTGTACGTATCACAGTGCACTACATGTTGCACTCAAATGCAAATTGTCTACATAGTTTATTCAGCAGAGTGCATCACGATATTCTGTCCAAGTTGATCTATGAATTGTTACCGGTTGCGAGAAAAAAGTTGTACTCAGCACCTGGTTCATGTGAGAACAAAGGAGTTCTTGTACTGTTTTGGAACAAAGAAAGAATACTTTCTTATGCTGAGCGACAACTGGCATCTTTTGAGGGAAATACTATTTTTTGGCTTGTCGGTATTGTTCTATCAGCCCGATAACATTTGATAGGGAAGGGATATGGTTCAGCATTTACTCGGAATTACAGAATTACAGAACACGTTTACTAATTTATTTTTTTTGTCAACAATACATTGATAGTGTTGGTTAATTTTTATGTTTTCAGAATGTATTACATTATTGTACTTTTCATCAACACGGCAAATATAGGGTACGATAGCAGCAGCGATTCTATTCTATTCTATTCTATTCTATTCTATTCTATTCTATTCTATTCTATTCTATTCTATTCTATGACTCAAGTGAAAAGCACAACGTTCTACTCACCTTTCAACATCTTAGATTCGAAGCAAACGAATTTCATACAGACGGCATGTGTGAATGCATCAAACTACTGAATGATCTAAACAAGTTGTTTGTGGTTGAAACCAACATGTATTTCATTTGATACGTAAATGAATCGGGTGCGATTTCTACAGATCATTGGCCTATTGTACTATTGTCCTATAGAAAAAGAGTTACATAACACACAAAAACTGTGAAAACACACAATCCGCGATGGGGCTGCAAAAAACACCTAAAACTGGCCAAATTCACAGTATAACTTCGTTAAATTGGAGGAGTCGTCACCTACGCATGTGTCAGGTGGCCATAGCGTGTCATTGTTTACAAACAAGCGTCTACCCATGAGCCTTTGCGTTCTTAGCGTGTGTTGTTATCATTATTTGGTACTCAATTCCCGCGCGTGCGCAGGTGACGATCCTCTCGCTTTAAAGTACGGCAAGTCGGACGCTAACGGCGTGTTTAGACTCTCGATTCAAGTAGCTAGCTACTATCAGCGGCATCGTGACCGTATGTTAACTATTAGTTACAGAACGATAGGATTACCTCAATTAATTTCAGTTCAAATTGTTTCATTAGCGTTAGAATAAAGGCCAATAAATTTTATTACGTGATTGGATATTGCACAAACGTCAATAACACTTTGGAAGCGACTTACTAATCTGCCAACGCACAACAACGAAACATACCATCATTATGTAGGGGGTGCATAATTATGAATGTCACTCACGCTGAAAGGTCGTGTCTGATATCGTGCAGATAAGAATAGTCGTGTGTCAATAGTACCGTGTACGTCTCGCGATGGCCTGGTCCACATGCTGTAGTTTCGCCATAACGGAACATGTCATTGTTATATCACAGAGACAGTGAAGGGCTCGTGGAACTAGACGTGAACGATGCATTTCGATGATATACTGCCTATATTGGGGGAATTCGGTCGATATCAAAAATTCCAGTTGTTTTTAATATGCTTGACCTCGATTCCTATCTCTTATTTCCTACAAGCAAACACGTTTATGAGCGCATCTTCCGACCATTACTGTAAAGTTTACGACAACCAGACATTCCATGACACATCTCCGTTGAAAAACTGTACGATTCCATACGATGCTGATGGCGAAACGTGGGACTCGTGTAGTCGATATGACGTCAACGTTTCGATGGGTATATCACCTGAACTTTGTTCACAGGATTCTGGTACACAAGACTGTGACAATGGATGGGTGTACGATAGATCAGTGTATGAAAACACTGTAGTGCATGAGGTACGTCGGAGCATGTACGAGTAATAGATTTGAGTGTACGCAGATAAATGGATATCCTGATTGTAACATTGCATTTTCATATTTATATAGTTCAACCTGGTATGCAACAATGATTGGATGAAACAGTTTTCGAAATCCGTTGTACCATTCGGGAATTTATTTGGAGGAATAATATTCGGACAGCTCTCAGACATGTATGTATATAAGAGAAAACCACTGATACCAGATAGTTCTTAGCTTCGAATCGCAGAAATTCGCAGACGATTCTAAGGCCAAAAAACATCTATGGGAAAGTGCTCCTATTTTTTTCAACCACGACGATGTTACTTAAAATATTTTCTGTGATTCTCAGAAATATTTAATACATTTTATTGTATTTAAGATTTATTTCCGCTGATTCGTGTTGAGTTTTAATGTAATACCCCTTTCACGGTAATGGACGATGCCATGATATAAAGATTTCTATAAATCTTAATAATATTTCCTTTTTTGATACGGTACTTACACACCTGGTGATCAATTCAACACGTATGAAAATTGCAACAAAATAATGGCCATAATGATAGTGCTGAACATGTGTCAGAAGTGAGAAAAGATGCGATCTTGATTTTATACTATTCGATTGAGTTATAATTATCTTAGAATAACTACAAACTAATACCAACATACCTAGAGTGATTTCCTAAATCACCATGCAGGGGCGTCGATCATGGGGGGACAGGGGGGGACACGTCCCCCCACTTTCTGAAGGGTGGGAGACACAATATCAACTGTCCCCTCCACTTTCTAGACTTACCCAAATATCAATAATAGGCTTATATCAAAGCCTGCGTTTGTGTAAGGCCTTTGGTTCTGTGTACATGTACTGTATTCTTAATGATCAAGAATGAAAATCCCCAAGTATGCACCAAATGACTTCATTTTGGTTGCATTTTTCAAAAATTTCTACCTTCTGAGGGGGGCACATCCCTTCTCGGGGTTACACACCTATATTCCGACACCCCTAAATTCCGACACCCCTATGTTCCGACATTCCTATATTCCGACAACCTTAGGTTCTGACACCTACGAAATTTTAGAAACGTTTTTGACATTTCACTGCGTTTTTATCTCTTTACTATAAGAAAAAATATTATTATTATTATTCAAATATTATTCTACGCCCACCTTTTGTAACACAATGTTACATTTCTTTACATTAAAAAATAACTATGCCGGATTATAATACTTGCCACTCTTCTGGCCATGGGCTTTCATGGAGATGTTTTTGTGATCATCGTCGGCAATATTCAGATCAACAATAAACTATGTACCTGACAGTCTTCATGTGGGCCCCTG